TATGTGTGTGTGTGTGTACACACACACACACACCCACCCACCCACACACACATATATATATATAATCACTGTCGAATTCTTTCTCCGCGTGACAAGCTATATCAATCTGTAAATATACTCATATAGTAGATGAATCTAGTATCTACCTGTACATGAACTCCTCGCAGCAAGGAATCACAGTCAGCGCAATATATCGGCTTTATACTAGTATGTCTAGTGAACTCGTGCTGTACATCGTGTACTGTGGGGATTCCCTTGCCAACAGCTGTCCCATTACTCATCATCATGACGAAATAGTGTTGTTAGTAAGGCAGAGAGAGAAGTATGTAGACAACCCCAAAGTGTTGCGCCACTTTGTATCAGTCAATTACTTATTTCGGATATATCGTGGAATATATGATGGGCGTCGCATATCCATGTATATATACAAATGCCCTGGTTCCGTAAGTATCGCGTTGAAACTACTCAAGAAAGCTGTGCAAGCTATGCTAGATTAACAAGGTTATCATTACACTTATTCTGTACAGAACTACTCGCAGGCTACTAAGCGACAGGCTTATCATGTTCACTTGTTTGTCAACAATATATGAATTCATAAGCGACAGCGTTCGTTTGCTGAATTCAATTGTTTTAGCATAGCCTTGTTGTTTATAGGCGATGCTTTAAAAAAAAAAATTCTAGAAGAGAGGTCTTTCGGCTCTTTCCTCTGTAAATATTAAAATAGCAAACTGAAGGGACATCCCGTGATCCCGTTGTTTTGAACAAAACTATGTTATTTATATGATTTATATCAGCAGTCTTTCACATCACTTCCGAGTTCTCAGTTGGAGTTCCGATTTCCGAGACCCGAGAGGCCGAGACTGATAGTCCCGAGACCGAGAGCCTGACTGCCTTAGAGTGAGCCCTGAGGGCTAAGGCTGAGGCTCTGAACTTCTGAAGTCTGAGGGCTGGCTGGCTGATTGCCTGATTCATCATTCATGAGAGCCGAGAGCCGAGACTCTGAGTTGGAGTCGGAGCAAGTTCTCAGTTTCAGGGAGACCATAGTTCTGTACCAGTGTACATACGGAGTTCACGCCCTGGCCCCTGGGGAGTCCTGGACCCAGGTCCCAGGGGCCTGGTGGGCCATGGTTGAGAGAATATGTATGTACATATTAATACTAAATACAGATGTAGAGACAAGGACTATTGCGTGTAGGAAATATTGCAATAAATATTAACAAAAAATACAAAAATATTCTTCAATGTATAATGAGGTACTCCTATTGGACGGGATATGTTTCTAAGAATAGCTCGCGACCATATGAGTATTTAGGAGTAACTAAACATTCCTTTTCACTCTTTTAAAAAAAAAGGTAAATCCAGACTCCAGAGTAAAGTGGCAGTTCCAGACAAAAGGCCCCAAAAATGATGTTTTTTTACAAAGCAACATACTGATGAAAAATCAAAAACAAGATCTAAATTCAGAAATTCTAAAATGTCACCGAGAGAAAATAAAAAGACTGGAAAGCATCACAAAGAGTTGTTCATTGTTTTTATTAAAAAAACAAAAACGAAAACAAAACAACACAAAACACGACTGGGGCGCCGAAGAGACCAAAAGCTTTTCTCCTAAGAGGGTAGTAGCTTATAACTTGTGAATATATCCGCACAGGAGGGTGAGCTGAGGGTGAGATACTGAGATTTCTAGATGGACCCTTTCTCCTTCACTTCCACTCAACACACACACACAAATACGTACTGTTGTTCAGTCACACACACAAAATTCCATTAGGATCCCTCGGGGGCCTCTTGAATAGCAATAACACGGATCCACATAGCCTTCTAAATGAACAAGATCCCATTCAATATGCCTGTTTTGTAATGATGTACTTCGACTGTATTTACCATTATCATGACTTCTGTGAGAATAACTTGCAACAGAACCTGATGAACTTCTGTTCCGACCCTTACAAGCTAGTATCATGCATACATATATATATGCTTAAAAACATCGGAGCCGCAAACTCGAATTTCACCCTTCTTAGTGTATTTGAATACTATATCTCAATCCGCAGCATTCTATATAATGCACGGTGCCTATGTAGCTACAGCACCTTCTGCGGTATATGGTTCAGTCTCTTGTGGGATCGACCCCCTACTTTCAGGTGGGGCGGCGTTTTTGTGTGCACTTGTACTGCTCTGTTTCCTCTGCGCTTCCGCAGGCTCCTCACTATGCTGCGATGTGTTATCTCCTACGTGGCCCGCATTGCTCTCACGTGCGGGTGTTTCGACCGGTTCTTCGTGTGTGTTAGCTGATCCAGTCGTGTTTTTGTCGTCTGTGTGGCTCTGCTCTGCTCTGCTGGGAGGGCGTTCTGGCGGAGTGCCTTCCACATGCGGCTGTTCGCTGGTCGATGTCTCAGCTGGAGGGGTCTCGTCGATAGAAGCTCTTTCAGCGTGTTTGTCAACCACAGGTTCGTCGACAGGTTGTTCTTCTGCTTAGAGGTGGTATTCATGAAGGTGGAGTGAACAACATAGTTGTGACATACGGAGTGACCAAGTGAATTAGATTTGCCCTGAAACAAGTCCGGTAGAAATGAGAAACTAGTAATATTGATGAGATCTGGACGGCGACATATACCCACCGAAGTTCCAATTTGTGTTAAATTCACTTTTTTTTTTGGATGTCACAAATCAGGGCTGGCGATTGAGTGCATCTAAAACTTTTCCAGGACAGATTAGTACACGGGCTGTACATAAACAATCGATGACATACCAGCAACAGGAGCCGCGGCAACAGGTGGTGCAGGGGGTGGCGCCTCGGTTTTACCTCTGATTTTGGACAAGCTCTCTGAGACCAGAGCGTCATTTCGCATGGCCACTGCTTTCTTTACTTGCAAACTATGTACCTTGAGATCGCGCTTGTATTCTTCTTTCCGCTTTTTCAGTGAAATGGATTTCAATTTATTGTCGATCTTCGCCTGAGCTTCGTCCTGAAAAGTAGGTACAAAATAACTATTAACATCTGTGCAAGACCCATGTCAATGGAGTGTTGGAATTTTCATATTGAGATAGGCAGCCCACAGCACGATGCAATAGTCATAAATTGAAGACTGTCATGATATGCGCTTCCGGAAATGGTATTAATTTGAGTCGCCGTTGCATGGTCTACATACCATCAACCTTCAACGAAGACATTGAGAACAAAGTACTGAAATCACACGTACCTTCTCCACGGTTAACTTGATGACCTCCAAACGATTTTTCTCGGTAAGGCTAGCTAACTTTTGTTTTGCCTCTGTGATCTTGACGTCTATCTTGATGACGGTATCGTTCATAGCATCGAGCTGCTTGTAGTCTATTTTTGGATTATCTTTTGCCTTATCCAGTTTTGCCAGGTAAGCCTGAATACGAAAAAGTGTGCAATGTCATCTCTTTGGGCACAATTAAAGTAGAAAAACTTTTGCCAGCCGCCTTGGACTTGTATACAACTATACAAGTGTCCAGTATATCACTTATACGGGACTACATAAGCGGCTCTGTTGTTCATATGTTACACAGGTGACGGTTATATTGATTCACAAGCAGGACTAAGAAAATAAGACCAAATTACAAATAAGCTTTACGATACCCACCTTCAATTTCTCTTCGCATTTCAAAACCACCTTCTCTTGTTTAGCTAGAGCATTCGGCTCGGTAGCCACAATGGATTGCGTCTTGTTATCTACTTTTACAATCTTTGCCTGGAATTTGTCCTGTTTACTCAAAGCTTTATCCTCTTGTGCTTGTAGTTTGGCCACCTTCTGATCACCTTTCAATTTCGCATCTTCCTCTTTTTTCAAAAGTGCAGCAACCTTTTTCTTATTCCTGCATGAGAATATTGATGGGATGCGAGTTCAGCGGCATAACTGAATTTGATCCAGAAATTGATCAGCAGAAACAATGAACGAGATATATAGTACAAACCACACGACAAACATAGACATGCCTAAAAATATATTAACACTTAGACAACATTCGGATATCAAAATTAAAAAGGAAGTAATCCGCCCTTCTCTCAAAAGTATACAATTTTGAAATTGGTTATAAAAGATATTGACATGGCTTATATAAAACTCAAAAAAGTGAGAAGATGCTAAAGTATAAAATCGCAGGCGGTTACAAGGCAAACTCACGCCTGAAAATACGGCCATTGTTCGGTATATTTCTAAGTAGTCCTTATGTTTGATTTGTTCGTCGATACCGATATACTCAACCAAAGACTGGTTGTGAAGTTGTGTACAGGTAAGGATGAATAATACACATGCGAATCAGGTAGAAGTCAACAGAATATGTAAAAGAGCATTTTCAAATCATACGTCGTGTATATCAACTATATAAAAGGTACAAAAATAAATGAACGTACGGGCATTGGAGGCATACGATACAACCTTTACTTACTTTGCATCCAGCGCTGCGAGTTTGTGATTTCTCTTCTCCATATACTCTGGAGGAGCAGTCCTTGCCGCAGCTCCTGACATAGTGTATTCTTGATAGCTAGTTTGTTAACTCAAGATGTAATAAAACAATATCTTTTTAAGTAGATTAGTGAAACTGAAATCGATTTGGTAAAGTGTAAGCGAGCAGTATGTATATGAAACACACAGTAACTATGTATTCATTTTTAAATACGCCATGCTGATGGCGATTGCACGCGAACTCAGCAATTTCCAGAAGCCGGACCTCAAAAGTGAAATGACTTTTTTAATTAAAAAAGAGTAAAAGACGAGAATTGCCCATTCCTTGTCGACCAATGGAAGCGTACCATATAAAATAATTCACTAAAAAGCCGGTAAAGTTCATCTGTATGCCCAAATAAGGAATGCAATTTGGCTTGTCGTTCAGTGTTTTAAGTTTTGACCAACTCTTGACTCTATGTTTGTCTACTCACACGTACTGTGATAACGATACTCAGGCTTACCCAACTATTAAGTAAACCACTCATACGTGACACTGTAGAGTGCAGACTCGGTTTCGGTCCTATTTTTCATTTTGGTGTTATTTTGCCACGGTTATGGAGTCAGTAATGAGTCAATTGTACATATGTAGTCGAGAACTCGAGATACCAACCAGGTCATCGAGGTACAGGATTGGATACGTAAAATCTCCCACTCCCTTTTCCTATATAGCAGTTGGTTAATCCTTTGAGTGTTTTGCCCTCGCATGTACTCAATATATGGTCCGCCACTATCAGCTGCACGAACTCTTGTCGTGTCATGTATCATAATATTTAACCAGAACGGCGGCGTCTGGGAGTGTGTGCTGGTTAATATACAGAGCCCGCTAGACGAAAACAAACACTACTACACATACCTTATGCTTACGACGGACAATGTCTATCGACGGATGGTTGTCAATAAAGGATGAGGATGCAGTTCGATATGTGCACAGTAAGACAAGCGTAAGCATGTGGAAGAATATGCACCCCCTTTTGAAGTAAAGGCCGAGAAAAAATCCTGGCCGCGAAAGCGGACGTAGTGACCGGGTTGAGGTAAAGCCTAGGATACCAGTGAACTCTCAAGCAAAACAGCAATAGACTCAAGCAAAACAGCAATAGACGCTATGCGTTCGAGGGTATCAAATAGGGTATATCAAGGACCTCTGGGCCAAACCCAACACATATACGTCAACTCTGCCTGCAATGTATTAACCACAGCAGAATATTCTAATATTCTAATAATAGTCAGTGTTTGCATAAACTTGTTTTCAATATCAGCCTGTACGCATGCGGGTACCACCCAGATAAGCAATTTTCATTTTTGCACCGGCGAATGCCTCACCCGGTAGTCCTTCGGTTGGAAGTTTCAAACTTCTTGCTATGTGATGTGCCACATGTACAGAATTATTGAGAACGAATATATATTCGTTCAATCTCAAATCAAGACCGAACTACGCCGGGTTAAATATTCCATCGCATGACGATTCAATGAAAGCCTCTTATCTCCTCTTACACAGTATTGCATGTAGCACTCGAAATCTAGGTGCGCATAACGTTAGCTCTTTATTTGTTCTCTCCCACATGAAACCTAAGTATATCATTGTAAATGCGTGATCGATCACGCTACTGTGCACCTAATAAAACACGGGATGGGATGGTTTATCTTTCTGCGTGCTTGACTGATTCTCAGATTTTTGACCGGAAGACGCCGCCCCCGCACCGCTGTTATCTGCAGGCGATGTATGTAATGTGTATACAGGGGGGGGTTCATCTGGCATAGCTTCGCTTCGCCTCTGACTACATGCCACGCCGTTCGTCAGAGGACTTTTGTCGGCATTCTTCACGCCCAAATTAATCACCTGGTGCAGGGGCGATCCATTCTTCTCTATCGCAGGCGCAGGTGCCTGTGCTCCCACACTAGCACTGCGGATTCGCCGGCCCTTTGGCACAGCCAACGGCTGGGTCAACTCAGGGGCTACCACGGGTGTTATAGTGCCGGCCCTATTCCGCCTGCGTGATTGGGTCTGGTCTTTAGCACTGTCGGGGTTCAGCCCTGATTTGGTCCCAGAGGACGGGCTGACCACCGTGGCACTACGCTGCCTATGGGCGCGCAAGGGCGATAGTAAACCCGCAAGCATGCCGTTTGAATCACTGCGCTTCATCGCTGGAGAGGCATCCGGTGATTGTTGAGATTGTACACTGTCGCCTGCGTCCGGCGAGGCCGGGATATTTAATTCACTTTTGGAACGGCGGAGATTTAACCTTGTGAACTGACCCCTGAGTACAGGAAACAATGACATGCGTTTGTTAGATATGTGTAGGAAACAATGACGAGCGTTGTTTATAAATAGAGTACTGTAAGGCCATCCGGTGGGATGACTACGGACTAGGGAACCAACTCCATACTGAGGCAAGCAAGAACCTTCCAGGCGCTCAGGAGACTCAAGTCAGCAATTTAGCAAGACATTGTTGTGTACGCCGAATAAAGTAGGCCCATTACATCCTAGAACCCAAGACTGACCATAGCAAGAGAATCTCGATATTATGCTGTCAACTTGCTCGCTTGTGCGCACTTGGTATTTAAAGAATGTCACGTCGTCTAATTGGAATAGCTTGAGAATGTTGTTTATAAACTAGTGCACATTTTCAAACTGGCTCCTATCACTTTCAAACAGACTGCTATCCTGGCCCTGGAGTCGAGTCAGATGTGATGTGTTCACATTTACGTTTCCTTTTCAGTTGTTGTATCATTTTATATATATGTAGCAAATCTTTAAAAAAAATTCAAGTACATTTGAAAAGAGATCGTACGTCGCTGTATGTTACCACAACTAACAAATGTCCATAAATTGCAAACCAATGAAACAATATTCACTCCTAGTTGATACGGGCACTTACAACGAAAAAGAGCTCTTTTTCCTTGACGGGCTGCCTACTTCTGTGGTCTCGACCTTTGGCTCGGACACCGATGAAACCACCATCCGCAGGGTTTGAGTTTTCATCATTTTGTACACCTCCTTTAACTATGTATAGGAAAACCCCAATGGAAATCGACGTTATATAAATACTGGGCCCATGCGCCCACGCAGAGAGATGTAAGATGCGGACGGCGTGACATTCAAGTCCTGGATAATTCGTGACTTAAATAGGCATGTGCATGTACAGACTCGTAAACATATAACTATGCACACAGAATAGTGAACGACAAAATAGAGCCATTTATGAACGCATACAATCCCATAGACTGTATCCGACTAAATGTTTGATGATGTATTCCCGGATTCGCAAACGAACATACACAATTCTAGACACAGTACCTCTGTATTCTTGTTGACAGTCGTGCCATTGATGGAGTGGATAGTGTCGCCCATAAGCACTCCCGAAGTCCATGCCAAACTGGCATGCTTCACCTTCGTCACCACATATTTCCTATGGAAAACAGAATAAAAATCAATATTAAAATCAAATACAAAAAGTTCAAAAAAAAATGGAACCAAGAAACAACCAAAAATACAGCTGACACCGATACGGAAACAATACAGCCACATTCAAATATACATATAAAAACAAGAACAAGGATAAGAATAAGAATATAAC